AGTGGCCCAGGCTGGCCTCAAACTTGTGGTCCTCCTGCCTCAGCCTCTGGAGTAGGTGGGACTACAGGTGTGGGATGCCTCACCTGGTGGTGCCTTCCTCTTTAATGACATCCCCATCTTGTCTGCATACCTTGCATGTGTCCTTACTGTTTTGTTCACCTGGCTGTGCTTCTGTAGTGCTGCCAGGGTCTGGTAATTTCTCCTTTTTCAGGTTTGTGCGCAAAGGCCACCCTGCCCAGGCTCTTCCTGGTCACCTTTGCGAGAGTGTTACCTGTTTTGCTCCATTATTTTCTACATACAAATGATCCTAAGCTGTAACTATCAGATTTATTTATTGGTTTACTTGTTTAATGCCCATCTCCCTTTCTAGAATGTAAGTGTTATGAGGTATGTCAGTTAGCTTTACAACACGGTGACAAAATACCATTAATAATGCACTGAAAAAAAAAGACTTATTTTGGGTCATGGCCTCATAGATTTCATTCTGTGGCCACCTGTTCCCATTAATGGGTCTTGGGCCTGTGGTGGGGCAGAGCATCATAGTAGGAAACTGCTTGCCTTAATGGCAGCAGGGAGGGAGAGAGAGAAGGGGGCTGTGTTCCCCAAGTCCCCTTCAAGGGCCCCAGTGACCCAGCTCCCTCCCACAAGCCTCCACCTTCCAGTAGCACCACAGGCTGCTGACCAAATCCTCAATGCACACAGGCCTTGGGCAGACATATCATAGCATAGTGGTAGGGCTTGTCTGTTATTCGTCATTCTTACTGCTAAGTTTTGCATGATGTAGAGGAAAGAAAATTTCATGCTTTGTGATCAGCTTGCAAAACACAGAGTCTGCTTGCTGTGCTAACTCTGAATTTATAGTTCTTCCTCTGGGAAGCCTTGGAACCTGCTGGATATACATCCCCCTAGCGCTTTACTGGAGAGTGATTTACTGAAACTTAGCCAATTTCAGTAAGCAGATTGGTGAGTTTTGACAAACGTATGCATCCATATAACCATCTCCCAACATTTCCTCCTGTCTTGGAGTCTTCTATTTAATTGTAGTAGAACAGCTCTCGCTTTGGCAGAACATATACTATAATTGTTTTGTTTTTGTTTTATTTGGTGCTGGGGGTCGAACTTAGGCCCTTGCTGCTTGTGAGGCAGGAGCTGGAACCACTGAGCTAAATCCCCATACTTTTATACTATAATTGTATTAGAATAGACTTGACATAAAATTCACCTCCTCAGCTCTCAGAGTACAGTTGAGTGACTTCAGTACATTCACACTGTTGTGTTACCACTGCCCGTGGTCCCACCACAGAATTCTTTTCATTTTGCAAAACTTAAACTCTGTAGCCAAAAAACAGTAACTCCTCTTTCCTTCTTCCCTCAACCCCTGGAAACCATCATTCTACTTTTTTGTCCCTAGGAATCCAAACTTGTACTTCTTTTTTAAAAATTAAAATGTACCATCTTGCCCAATTTTAAGTGTACAGTTCAGTGGTATTAAGTAGTGGCTTCTCATTAAGCTAATTTTAGGGCTAGCTGTGAGTATGAAAAATTCCAGATAACAGAATATAATCAAGATGGTCTGGGACTCCTGCTGTGAAAACTCTTTCATAGCAAGAACCTAGCTCCTGTCTTGTGCTTTGTCCTTTGAAACACTCAACTTGCTATCTCATAGTCTAAGATGGCTGCTCCAGTTCCAGCCATCAGCTCCTCATCCCAGCTGGCATGAAAGGGAAAGGCAGAAAAAGGCACTTTTTTTCTGTCTTATAGAGCCCTTTACAGAAATCACACATATCATTTTTGTGCTTATTGACAGAACTTAGCCATATAGACACATCCTGTCACAAGGGGACTGAGAGATGAGGACTTCACTCTGGGCCACACATTCCAGTTCTAATTTGTCAGTCGTGTAGCTGAGGAAGATGAGGAGGAGCCATATTGTGGAGCACCCAATGGCATGTGCCACTGCTTTCTTGCCTTGTAGCCCTTTTCATTGGACTGAATCAATTCCTTGCTTCTTATGGACTGTGGACTCCTTTAGCCAAGGGCTGTATCATTTACCTCTCAGCTTAGAGCCAGGTGCATTTAGGTGCATAATGTTTGTTGTACAAATAAATGACTCCAGGCCAACCCAACCTTTTAAGAAGTACTGAAAGGCCCAGGCATGGTGGCACATACCTGTAATCCCAGCTACTCTGAAGGCTGAGGCAGAAGAATTTGCAAATTCAAGGCCGTATTGGGCAACTTAAGGAGACCCTGCCCCAAAATAACATAAAAAGGGCTGGGATTGTAGCTTAATGATAAGAGTGCTTGCCTAGCATGCATGAGGCCAGAGTTTGATCCCCAGCAGTGCACATGCGCACGCACACACATACACTCACACACACACACACGAATTACCAAGGGGAAGCAGGATGAGCATAATGACTAGAGTCACCTAGGGTTGTCTGGTCCAGGTTCCCACTGAGTTCAGGAAACTGCTCATTGCAAACCTTGTGGCTTGCTCCTGACCACACACACCGCCAGGCACTCCCTGGGCACACCAGCAGTCACAGCCCCTTCTTGATGTGGACTGACAGGCAGTCTTCCTGAGACTCTACACGCCCTCTGCCCCCCGTATCCACTTCCACACCTCCTCCTGCCCCCAGTCTTCCCTTTGCCAGGCAGATGCCTCCTGTGAGTCTAGACTGGCAGTGTCTACACCCTGAGGGGTGAGGAAACTGCTGGGCCTGACAGTATCTGAGCCTGAGCCATAAGCAAGAAAGCTGTTCTGTCCCACCTCCATCCTAAAGCCTTCCTGGATCGAGTGAAGTGCCAGAGACCCTCACGCCTTTCCAGGACTCTGAGAGAATCCAGCCCCAGTGTTCCATTGCTAATAAATGAGGAAATGGTTGCTCTTAACTTGGGCTTTGCTTCTTTCACATGTGGACACCCACGCAAACACAGGAGATAGACATGGTGCTGCAGAGGCAGAAGCTTGGTCCTCAGTACCATGAGGATTCCTTCACTGGGACTAGAAGTCCCCATCTGTCACACACAGAGATCCCCTTGTCCTTCCCAAGGGAGTCCCTAGATGTCATAGAGACCCTACCGTGTTTCCCTGGGCAATTGCGGTCTGTATCTGTATCAGTGGACAACCGGGTCCAGAAATAGGGGCTGCTGCTGCACTGCAGCAAGAATTCCAGGCCTTGAAGTAGGGATTAGGCGGCCGAAAAGTGAGTTGGAGAGGATGAGGAGGTGGATGGATGTGCGTGCGCGTGTGTGTCTGGGGCATGTGCACAGGGCAGGCCCCAGTCCTCTATAAATGCCCAAGTCACCGCTGATGTCCCACAGCCTACTTCATACCTGTGACCTGAGCAGCGAGGGACGATGCCATTGTGCCCTGCAGTGAAAGCCTGTGGCACTCACCATCCATGGCACGGTTTCTCTGAATCAGTTTATGTTGTGGCCCAATGGGCCGATCCCTTCTCCTTTCCTGCTTTCTGTAGTCTGTGGACCTCTGCAGGCCTCTGTGGCTTCTCAGGATAGCACGACCCCCTGGCGAAATCAGTATCAGCTCTCCTGAGCAGGAGCGGGCACCCCATTTTCCCAGCACCTGCCTGCCAGCAAAGCCCACACAGGCAGCCCACACAGGTGCCAGGCTCTCACACCTGTTCTCCCTCTTCCTGCCCCGAGGGTGTTGCTCCTCACTCCACACTGGCGGCAGCAGCAATTGTTGCAATTCCCTTAACCAAGGCTTTTCTTGCCAAATCTTCCTCCCTTGGCACGGGACTTACAGCCCCAAGGAAGTGCTGAGCAAGGAGCAGGGTCTGAACGGTGTCTCTGCCCCAAGGGGTGTCCAGAGCTGGCTGCATCACGCTGAATGCCGTCAGCCCTGTTGTGTAATGGGAAGCTTTTCCTCGTGGTGGGCTTCTCCTACCCTCTTTGGACATGGTCACTACAGGGGCCAGCATAAGGCTGAGGTGTCAGCAGGAGGCATTAGGGAGAGCGGGAGTGAGTGGCATTAAATTAGACCTGGGCCTTTAAGAAAAATGCTCAGAGTCATCTATCTAGTGCTAAATACCAAATGAGTCAGCCTCCTCCTCCACATTCTCTGGCAAAGCAGAGCAGGCTGGGTAGGGCTCCTGAACTAACTCAACTGGAACCATGACTACCTATGGCCATTGTCAATCCTTAGTCCAAGGATAACTCCAATGCTTGTTTTCCCTCGGGGATGGAGGGTGTGTGTGTGTGTGTGTGTGTGTATTTGTGTGTTATTGTTCCCTCTCCACTTCTAAGGGGAAATTATTCACCCCCAGTCCTTTCTGTAGGCATTGCTTCTAGATTTAAGGGTGGATGCCTGCCTACCGTGATGATACGGACATTTCCTACCAAACCCCTCTTTCGTGCCTCAGTGCCCTCTAAATAGTAGATGGGACTTGAGGGGGCCTTTCTGAGGAACAACTGGAGCTGTGAAGCAGCAGTGGACTGCACACCAATGCTTGTTCTTAGAAATGTGTTTGCACCTCCTGAAGCCAGGGCCATGGGGCTCTTTCACATGTGGACACCCACGCAAACACAGGAGATAGACATGGTGCTGCAGAGGCAGAAGCTTGGTCCTCAGTACCATGAGGATTCCTTCATTGGCCACTAGAAGTCCCCATCTGTCACACACAGAGATCCCCTTGTCCTTCCCAAGGGAGTCCCTAGATGTCATAGAGACCTTACCGTGTTTCCCTGGGCAGTTGCGGTCTGTATCTGTATACACCTTGGTGAGCCCACCATTGGCAGATGAATCCGCAGAGGGGGCTTTCATTTATTTGGGTAAATTGTCACGTTGGAGTCATTCCTAAAAGAAGCCCAGCAAGCAGTGGGGGTGGGGGCTGCAGAAAGTAGAAGGAAGGAGGCAAAGGCGGAGGGAGGGCTGGTGTCCCCCAGGTTCTCTTTGGGCCTCCTGCCCACAGAGACTCCCGTTCAAGGGGAGGAGGCAGTCCAGGGACTGTGGAAGGGCAGCACGGATGGACATGAGGACAGATTCCAGAGGTTTGGTTTTATTGTGCAGTTTTCTTTTTCCTCAATGAGATGCCAGAAGCTGTGGTGGCACTATACACGGTCACACAATGGGCAGAGCCACCGGGTGGGGAGCTGGGTGTTGGGAAAAGCCGTTTCCCAAGGAGTGTGCCACCCTGGGGTGTCACTCCAGGGCCTATCTCAGGTCACCCAAGAACTCTGAGGAGATAGGCCTGCGGGGCAGGGGCTGTCTGGGGGTTTGGGGCCCAGCCAGCAGAGCCAGCAGTGATGGGGAAGGAATGAAGAGCCTCCCTTGGAAACTTGGTCCAAACTCTGTGGGGCTCTGGGTAACCCCTCAGTTTTGAGCCTGTGGGACAGAGCTCTTGGGAGCTTGGGACAGCTGGGGGCCATTGTCCTCCATCACCTTCTCAACTGGTGGTACAACGGAGGACAACAGGCTCACATTTTCAGCTTCCTGAGGTGAGGCGAGCCAATGGACTCTCACTATCTAACCCCTCCCTCAAGCTTGTATTAGTGCTGCTGCTCCCCACTGAATCTGCATCTTCAATGGGCAGCACCCTTGGCTCAAGGCCCTAGGGAACGTCTATCGTAGCCAGAGGGACTTTTTCTGCTGTGACTGAGCATGTTCCTGGAGATGCTCAGGTTACCCTCATGTGAGGAGTCACACATGCTCACGGAGCCCTCACACCTGGGGTCTGAAGGTGCTACCCGCTGCCTGCTGGAAAAAGTCTCAGCACACAGCCCATCCAGGTTAGGCCCAGACACACCCATTCCCTCCTTACCCAGGTCTCTCCCAGGCCTCTGGTCCAGGTGGGCAAGGATGATCATGCCCCAGGGACTGGTCCCCCTCACTCCCATCACGTACCCTCACACTCCATCCAGTTCCCTATCCTAGCTTCTCTTGTCACACACTCCCAAAGAAAAGGAAGGATAACCCTTAAATAAAACAGACAGAAGCAGCTCTGGAACAGAGTACAAAAAGACAGCCAGTGGTGTGCGGAGAGGGGGAAGTGGGTAGATGATGGCATGCAGCGCTGGGGTTCCTCATAGGGGGTGGGGTCGCTTTTACTCCCCAATATGTGTGAGGGCCTGGGGAGGGGGTCAGCCAACTCAGAGAAGCCGGATCTCTGCATTGGGCCTTGCGGCTTCCTGTATCCTCCATGGGCCCATACAGTTACAGGGAAATGAAATCTGTGGCCTGGAGGAGGGAGAGCGAGAGCAGGAGCAGCAACAGCCACGAGGTATTCTGCGCCAGCAGGCTTATGCCTTCACACTTGACCAGTTTGTCTGTGGAGAAAGAATGGGGTAAGAAGAGGCACTGGGAGTGGGGTAGGCACTGCCTGGAGCAGTTCTCTGGGTGTGTTCTCTTCAGGGAGCTGGGCCAACTTGGTCTAATAGAACCAACCATATTTCCCATTTGTGGGGTGCTGACTTCTTGCATGCATACCTTATGAAAATCTTGCTAAACATCATCACAAGTAAACTTTGGGTGGAGGAGGCAGTGTCACCCCTGTTTTGCATGAGGGTAAAGGATTGGAGAGACCAAGGGACTTGCCCAAAGTCATGGTGGAAAGCAGCTACCACACTGCCGTACCTGTCTAACTAGCCCGCAGCTTTTCTCCCTTCACACTGAGAGCACTGGTTCCCAAGGGGACCAGGCAGCAGTTGGGAGACGGTGAGGGAGTCACGGGGTCTGTCTCTTCTCTGGCCCCACTAAGGGAACTGTCTGCTGTTCTAGCCAGCTGGGTGGTCCCCAGCCTGGCTCTCCCATCCAGTTGGCCCTGTTGGGGATTTGCCTCACCTCTGAGCACAGAGACATTCTTATAGTTGGGGGCAGATTGCTGGCCAGAGATGCGCAATTCACATGTGTAGGTCCCCTCATCCTTGTTGGAGAAGTTGGCCAGGTAGAGAACCTTGATTTTGTAATTGCTGGTCAGGTTGGTCCGGGAGCGGTATGCATGCTCAGGCACCCCCATAGTACCAAACAGCACGTGCTTCTTTTTCTCACGGGTCAGGCTGAACTCATACTGGACAGGCAAAGTGGTGGTATTCTCATAGCGGCAGTCCAGACGAAGGCTCTGGTTCACTAGGCAGGCTGTTAGGCTGGTCACCTTCTGCCCTCGGGACACCTGCAAGACTGGCACCAGCAGTGCCCATTCCAATTGGTGGAGAGCTGATGAGGGGCTTCCAACCTATACTGACAGTAGATATGACCAGGGAGGGCACAGGAGGCTGCTCTCTTCATGCCTCTTCCCACTGCACTGCAAGGGTCCTGGAAGCAGAAACCCCCCACCCTAACACCCTGACCTCCCTCCCTAATCTCTTTGACCCTGGGTCCCATTAGTGAGTTGCAGGGGCAAGTGACCTTGGGGAGTTCTGAGTTCCCAGTTGGAGATTCCCATTCACTAGCAAGGGGCAGGGCTCAGTGAATTATTTCTAAAAGAGCAATCCAGCAGTCAGAAGGTCAGCTGGATAATAGCTGTCTTTGGGAGGCAAAAGAGCCCTCTCTCCCCCAACTAAGTATACTTTCTGAGGCTTTGAGGAAGAAGCAAGCTTCTCTGAAGAAAGGAAAGCCAGGGTGCCTGGACTGTCAGCCCTGTCCCTTGCTGAGTACCTGCCAGCAGGAGGGCGATGCCGATGGCTGGGTTCATGGTGCCAAAAGCTCTGTCCTGGATCTGGGGTGGGGAACAGAGGGGAATTAGCCAAAAGGTGGGACTGGTGTGCCCGCACTTACAGCTGGGGCTTGAGACTCTGAAATATGATGGACATCTCAGTCACTCCTCCACCCCCCTCATCCTCTCTTCTCTTCTCTGGAAGGTGACACTGCCTCTGGCTCTTTCCTCCCTAAGGAAAGCAAGGGAGGAGGAGGGAAAACACACCTGAATGGAGAATGGCGGGGTGTCAGTGCCTGGCCACGGAGCACTTCCTACCTGCATGGCTTTAAGGGATTTATCCTTACCACTCTTTTTCCTTGGGCAAGGACTTACTATTTACTTACTTTTGAAAGTTTAATTTGGAAAAATACATATAATATTTACTATCCTAACCACATTTCAAGAATACAGTGTTCACATTGCTGTATGTGTACATCCACTCTCCAGAACTCTTTTTATCTTTCAGAATGAATGAGCTAGATGCTCATGAAACAAAAAAATCCTCATTCAGGGACTCTTTCTTGTCCAGAAGTAAACTTCCAATGCCTACAGCAGTTCCTGGCATATGGCAGATGTTCCAAATATATTTACTGAAGGAATGAATAAGGGTCTTTTAACCTTAGATACCATGGGGTTATGGTGGGGTTAAGGAAATGCCAGACTGCTCCACTGTACATGGCCCTCAAGTGCTAATGGCTCAGGATCATGTCAGGCGTGTGTCTGACTAAAACACACAGTTAAGGTGTTCCTAGATGTGTGTGAGGGATATGACAATTCTCTCTGATTGTACAGGCCAAAGATGCTTCCAAATGTCCAACTTCTGGAGATTCCTGGGGCTGTGGTTTTCCAGTCTGGCCTCAATAGCCTGCCTTCCTACACTCATCGCCTGTCTTTCCGGTACTTTAAAAAAAAAATATATATATATATATTTTTTTTTTTTCTTCACAGCCTTAAATGGACCAGCCTCTTAGCGACACAGAGCAGGTGAAGCAGCCTGGTCGCAGCAGAGCTCGCCCTGGAGGAGCCGCAGGAGAGGCATGGGCCCTGCCTGGGCTGCACACTGGGTGTACAGGGCACGCCACTCCAGGAGTCGCTGCTGCGCTCAGCGCCGGGCTCAGCCCCGGACGGGTGAGGCTAGGGTCGCACAGCCTTAAATGGACCAGCCTCTTAGCGACACAGAGCAGGTGAAGCAGCCTGGTCGCAGCAGAGCTCGCCCTGGAGGAGCCGCAGGAGAGGCATGGGCCCTGCCTGGGCTGCACACTGGGTGTACAGGGCACGCCACTCCAGGAGTCGCTGCTGCGCTCAGCGCCGGGCTCAGCCCCGGACGGGTGAGGCTAGGGTCGCAGGCTTTGCGGCCACAGTGAAAGCTACTCATCCGGGTGGAGCTGCCGCTCTGAGCCAAATTCCTAGGCTCTGAAGCCGAGGAGGGTGCCGCTTGGGATCTAGGAAGAGGGGGAGCGGTGGGCAGACCAAGAAAGGGAAGAAATGGGGCCAGGGCTGGAAGAAGATGTGGAGCCAAAGAAGGGTAGAATTCGGGAGGCGCAGTATATCTATTTTTCCTTCTCCGGGGGTTCCCGAAGCCAGACCCGGAGCGGCTCTGCGCGGGCTAGCCCCACCCTTATCACTTCCCTATTCCGGTCTTCTTTCTCAGTTGAGGTCCCCCGCTCCGCTTCCTTTTCAGCTCTCCCCACCCCCGCCTGCCCGTCTTCTATCTAGTCCCCGCCCGCGGCACTGCGGTTTCCTTACCTAGGTGCCCCTCACCCAGCCCTTCATGAGGTCTTCGAACCGAGAACCCTTCGGCTGGCCACCCTCCATCCTCTCGCCTATTTCTGTCCCCCACCCCACCCTTGAGAGCTGGGTATGGGGTCCTCTGGGTGGACAGCAGAGGCAAAGGCCGCCCTCGGAGACCTTCCTCCAGTTCCTCCTCCAGCACTGCAGCCCCACACAGCTGCCCGCCAGTGGGCGAAAGCCTGGGAGGGGCTTTCCCAGAGGCGAGGAGCGGCTCGGCCCCTGCCCCTTAGAGCTTCGCGCTTCCGCCCGGCCTGGCATGCAGGTACCTTCCCCAGCTCTGCGCCGCTCCTCCCCGTAGCGCCCTTCGACCTTTCCCGAAGCGTCTAGCGTCCCGATTCCCCCCAGGCTCCTCTCTCACCTGGGCCCCGTCCTCCGCCGCCGCAGCTTCCTCCGGACGCGAAGCTGCCGCCTCGAGTTGCTGCACCCAGCACCGAGCCCGCAGTCTTCACTAGGGGTGGGGGAGAGGGGGACGGGGAGGGTCCGAGGCTCAGCCAATCAGAGGCTGAGGGGAGAGGATGAGGGTGGCGAGGGGCCTGGGAGAAGGTGGCAGTGGTGCCTGGGTAGGAAGGTAGGAAGGTGGCTGACTCCTGCAGAAGGATCTCAGTCAGCCCTGTGGCTGCTGGCCTGACCGGGGGTAGCAGGCTTTGGGACCCTGGGACCAGGGTGTGGCAGACCAAAGAATATCAGGCGCCTCCCCGAGTCCCCTCAGACTGCTGTCCTTTTAAGGGTGTAACCCTTTCTTCTGGTCCAGTCTTCAGAAGTCTCTAGGAAAACCGGAGCGAGAGCAGGATTTGCCAAGCTTCCGAGTTACCTCTTTCTCCGAGCCTCTGGTGAGAGAATTTTGGGCTGGAATATTCTGGTCCTTCTTTGAAGGAGCCGGTAGAATGTATTCCATGGTGGAGCAGCCCTTTGGTAACAGGGCCGGTGGTGTGCCCACCGGGTCCTTTCCCGATCCCCAGCTCTGCCTCACCTCTTCAGGGGAACCTGCAGGTGCTTTCTGCGGAGGGTACTCCTTCTCCCCCGAGTCTGGGCTGGAGCTAGGTTCTCCTCACTTTCTGAATTATCTGCTTGGTTTTCAGAAGACAGAAGGGTTGTTGTCTTCCACTAAGCACGGTGCTTACCAGACATGCACAGTCACATTACCCCTTCAACCCATCCCACTTCATGGCTAGTAAGTGGGAGGGCTGCAAGGTGGTGGCCTTGGAGCCCAAGCTCTCAGTGCTGAGCTCCTCTGCTCTGCTGGCTGCATGCAACAAGAGAGGGAACAGAAATCCCCAGAAAGCTGTGGAGGTGACTAAGTCTGGAAAGATACTGATCCAGGCACCCTTTCTACCCAATCCTTTTGAAGTCACCAGGAGTCTCTTCTTTAACAGCCAATGCGGATACTTCGTCCCTCTAACCCACAGGTGCAGAGATTTTATTTATTTATTAAATTCTTTTTTTCAGAGTTTTTTTTTTTTTTTTAAACAAAGGTTTGTTTGATTGACTTGAGCCTCTTGGCTTCTTTGTGAATCCCAATCACAACATCCTGTGGGCTGGCCCTGTCTCCCAGCCATCTGCCTGCAGGATCTCCTATTTCTTCATAGAAGTCAGCCCTGGCACCTCTGCTGCAGTTTCCAATCCTATAATGGCACTGTTGGAAGCTATCCCTGGGCTTCGAGCAGGAGTTTCACTTTCCTCGGTCTCTTGGGGGGCTAGGTAGTCTTGCAGCACTTTTGGTGATGGAATGTTCTAAGTGGAACAAGCCTTGTGGATGGTCTGGTCCAAACGGTGATTCACTTTGGTAAGCCAGGGAAGCTCCCAGGGCATTTTTACAAAAAAATGCAGCTGCTCCAGCCCACCTAGGATCTCCTTACTCTAGTACTGAGTCTGCACTATTCACAAGCTTCCCAGGGCCTTTGGGCTAGGGAACCCTGGTCTAATAAGAACGTCCCTTTTCACAGATTGCTTCTCATTGATCATAAGATAATACTAAATCCCTGAATGTCTTGGCTCCTGGCTGCTGACCTCTATCACCCCATCTTTCCATTCATCTTCCCATTGCATTCTAGATATACTGCCCTCCTCTCTGTCTCTCAACAGCTGTGTGTTCCTTCCTGTTTACCGTGGATCCTTGACTTATGAACTAAATTCATTCCCAAGGGCTGGTTGCAATTCAAGTTGGTCAATCAAAGGTTCAGGCTCCTATACACAGCCTTCAAAGTCTCTCTCCTGTATACAGGCAGATCTCAGTGTCCTTCGAGAGACATTGGCCTAAGAATTCTCAGTTAACCCCTCACAGGAAAGGATATTGTAATGCTCCTTCCAGAACTCTTTTTTTTTGGGCACTGGGGATCGAACTCAGGACCTTGCACTTTCGAGGCAGGTGGTGGAACCACTGAGCTAAATCCCTGGCCCTCCTTCCAGAACTCTTTAAGGGTTAAATTTGTATTTGAGACCATCTGGAAGTACACATGGCCATCAATCAGGTCATAGTTCAAGGCTTTGTTTGTAAGTTAAAACTAAAATTTTGGTTGTTTGTAACCCAAGTTATTAGTAGGTCAGGCCAGTCTTAACTCACGGGTCCACTGTAACAGCTTTCTGATTCCTATCTTGTCAGAACATAATTGCTTTAGCTTGCGGCCTAATCCTACTGCCTCCCTCTTACACACATGCATGCATGCACACACATGCACACACACACACTGCTAGGGGATGGAGATGTTTTTCTCTGAGGGGACAGAACACACTCAGAGGTCCCTCAGCTGCACACGTCAGGGCTGTGGCTGGCTGAGGCCCTGGGTGCTCCACTCCCACTCTGTGGCCTGTCTCTCAGTGATGCTGAGTAGAGGGCCTAGCTGTGCTACTTTGATAAAATTAGGAGGATCTGGCCTACTTTCAGAGTCCCCCGGCACTTTGTCTTAAGGAAGGGGAGGGGAGTGTTGTCTGTCAGGTGTGAGCAATTTTGTGTCTGTTAGAGCAAGTCCCCAATTAGATGGAATTGAAAATTTAAATGAGACAATCTGGGGTCTGGGCAGGGTCTCAGGGTGGCAAAAGGGAGGAGATCTTAAAACTTTCATTTACTAATGGACAAGATTGGAGTGCTGAAAGCAGGAATCCAGCCAAAGCAGGGTGTCCTGCCAGATTGTGGCTGCCCTGAGTGTCTCTCAGATCTCTGTTCTCTTGCTGCCCCAACTAGAGACAGGTTAGAATAGAAGTTCCTCTAAAAAGCTCATTTCCTTATGCTGACCAAGGGACTAGTGGCCATTGACTCTTCATAATCCCTGGCTCCACACAATGCCCCTGTAGAATGGCAAAGCTACCCCATCGTTTTATAGCTCGGACCTGAAGCCCCTCAGAAGGGAAGGATTCATCAAAGGTCAGACAAATACTTTGTTAGCCTAGCCTGTGGATCTTCTGACTTCATGTCCTGTGCTCTTCGGTGCCTCCAGTATGGGTCTTCAGACTTCCAATAAACTGATTTCACTGGTCCCACATGAAAGAAAACAAGCAAACAAATAAACAAAACAAGGCCATGTGGGGTACTCTGAGCATAGTTGTCAGGCTGCCGCTTTGTTTGGCTCCCATCCTCTTCACCCCACTGATGATCTAGGGTTATGGTCGTGGCTGGACCCATGACACCTAACCATGGACAGATGAGATCGATAGCCATTAGTTGGTCACATACACTCACAGTCCAAAGAAGGATACCACACGCTGTGAATGGCCACACAGGATTTGTACAAGACCTGTGGGAGATAGGCCTTGTGGTTTAAAAGCATGGGGCACCCCATTTTCTGAAGGAGGGTGTGGTTGGGAGTTTGACTAGTTCTGCAGGTTGGAGAGAGAGAGAGAGAGAGAGAGAGAGGGAGAAAGAGAGAGAGAGGGAGCTGAAGCCCACTACTCAGGGCTAGCCAGCTTTGTCCTCACATTAAGAAGGGCGGTTTGACTGGGATCTTTTTCAGCAAAGGAGGATGGGAACTTGTGATATCCTTTTGATTTTATCAGATGTCAAGATATTTGAAGCTTCTGAATTTTATCAGATGTCAAGATATTTGAGGCTTCTGAATTTTATCAGATGTCAAGATATTTGAAGCTTCTTCATTTTATCAGATGTCTAGGCAGCATAGAATACTGAACCCTACTCTTGGCTGAGACTGCACACCTACCTTTCTTATACTTTCATTCTTAGGTTGTACCTTTTTATTTTTTGAAGTGGTAGACGTAGATGATATGTGCGTATGTGTGTTTTTAATGTCCTTCCTTGGCAAAAAAGAAAAAAAAAAAAAGGAAAGAAAATTGACCACTGAGCTATATGCTCAGCGCTTCTTATTTTGACACAGTCTTGCTAAGTCATTAATTTGCCCAGGCTGGGCTTGAACTTGTGATCTTCCTGCCTCAGACTCCAAGACTGCTGGGATTACAGGGGTGTCCCTCCATGCTCTGCTAGATACAAATATTCTTCACAAAGATTAACCTGGGAGCAGGGCAGAGGGACCAGAGGGTCACATAAACCCTCTCCTGCCCAGGGTTCTTTGCTTCTGTGGGCTGTTCAGAGCAGAGGTGGGGAAGTGGACAGTGGTTTCTGGAAGGAAAGGTGGAAGGAAAGAAGGAAGGAAGGAAGAAAGTTGCTGTCATAGACAGTTCCTTGAGGCCAGGGTTCAAGCCTGTCTTACTTCTGTATCTCTGGGGCTTTAGGTACTGGGATGAAGGAGAGTCTCAAGAAACATTTTTGAATGAAAATAAAAATCAAAAAGAGCAACCAACCATCATAGGTATTCTTTATGAGGGGAAAAAGGAAGAAATCCAGGGGAGGCTTGTGGGGATAGGGGTGCTGTTTTCTGGGAAAAAGAAGGGCACCCTGAAGGGCAGCTCATCTGAGGTTCTGCCTGCTGGGGAAGGGGCAGGGTCTGAGATGGACTGGGGAGGGAGGAGGAGCCAGATCACAAAAGCCTGAATTTTGGTGAGGCTGTGGGGAAAAAGAAACCCCTCTCCACTGTTGCTGGAGTGTAAGCTGGTGCAACCAATATGGAAATCAGTATGAGATTTCTCAAAAAAACTGAAAGTGGGGGTTCCATTTGACTCAGCCATTACCCTTTTTGGTATCTTCCTAAAAGAGTTAAAAGCATTATAGTGGTATGTGCACACCCATGTTTGTAGCAACACAATTTGTAATAGCTAAATTTTGGAAACAGCCAAGATGCTCAACATCAGATGAATGGATAAAGGAAATGTGGTTTTTATGTACAATGGAGTGCTACTCTGCCATAAAGAAAGGTAAACTTGGGACATTTTTAGGTAAACGGATGCACTCTGAGACATTACTTTTAAGTGAAATAAACTGGACACACATGATGAACTATTGCATTTTCTCTTGTGTGAGAAACTGAAAGTGCAAAAGAGGATAAGAAAGGATGATAGATATTGGGAAGTAGGAAGAAAGTGTTCAAATG